CAAGCAAGATGCACCTGTTTTCTAGGGACCTTAGGGTTGCTGGCCTCTTGTTTTCCCAGCCTGTCTTCTGGGAGAGGGGCCTGCTGTGCTGTTACTCAGGCAACGCTGTTTGGGCAGAGTTGCCCTGCCCCCTGTGGTGGGGGATGGGCTCAGTGAAAACCTGTTTTGGGGGGGCTTTTGTTCTCTGGCGGCTTTCCCTGGTGGCTTTCCGCGTCTCTTCCGAGAGTCAGAGCAGAAGAGACCGTTTCCAACCCTCTGCCTCAGAGCAGAGAGATCGCAATCTGTTCTTCAGTGAGCTCTCCAGGGCACACTATCCCCGTTTCTGTCTGTGCTGCTATAAACTGCAGCATCCTGGGTTGTGCGCCCCTCAGCTGCGCTCCCAGTCCTACCTCCAGGTTGGGGCACGTCTCTGCCCTTTGTGCTTCTAAAACCTCCAGCCACCCTCAGTTCCCACACACGGCCCCTCTGCTCCAGGTTTCCATTTGGGGGGCTGCCCTAGAGTCCTTTCCCTGCCTCTACCGGTCTGCGAGTCTGTGCCCCATCTGCAGCACGCAAGGCTGTCACTCACCAGCGGTGTAGGATCCCCACGGCCTGGCTCCTTCCCACTGCCATTTATCCTCCGATATCTACCCGCGGAATCACGGCTTCCCGCTTTGTACCTCGAAACCAACCCCCTGCGATATTCTGTTTGTAGAGATCCAGATCTATCTTCTTACATCTCAGGCTGATTTTGTGGGTGCTCAGAGTGGTCTGGTAGATATTCAGCTCAATTCCGGGGACCAGTTGGAATAGGGTCCCCTACTCCTCCGCCATCTTTCTCTTTCATCAGTGTTTTATAGTTTTCAGAGTATAGGTCTTTCACCTCTTTGGTTAGGTTTATTTCTAGGTATCTTACGGTTTGTGGTGCATTAATAAAGCTTTGAAAAAAAAAAAAAACTATTACTACTCTTTTGAAAAATGTATCAGTGTGGGACACCTTCCTAACTCAGTCAGTTAAGCGTCTGCCTTTGGCTCAGGTCATGATCCCAGGATGCTGGGATCGAGTCCCTCATTGGGCTTCTTGCTCAGCAGGGAACCTGCTTCTCCCTCTCCTGCTGCTCCCCCTGCTTGTGCTCTTTCTCTCTCTGACAAATAAATAGATAAAATCTTAAATACACACACACACACACATATATGTATATATATATATCAGTGATTACTAAGTACTATTTGGATGATTTTATTTTTGATAAATTTTTATAAATAAGAAATTTCAACATTTCTTAAAGTTCTTGAAAGGGCGCCTGGGTGGCTCAGATGGTTAAGCGTCTGCCTTCGGCTCAGGTCATGATCCCGGGGTCCTGGGATCGAATCCCGCGTCAGGCTCCCCGCTCTGCGGGAAGTCTGCTTCTCCCTCTGCCTCTCTCTCTCTCATGAATAAGTAAATAAAATCTTTAAAAAAAAAAAAAAGTATGGTTTAACTGTATTTTATTATAAAATGACTCTTTAATCTCAATAGTAATTTGAATGGATTTTCCCCATTAAAAATAAAGGGTTCAAATTTTACAAATGACTATGATTATAAAATTAAGAATTTAAATGATTTTTATGGCAAATTCAGGCATTAATTGTTCTTTCAAAATCCAATAGAGGATTCTCATTTAGAGAGTAATGTAGATCTCTGTCTCTTAGTTCCAGAGTATGAGCTGTCAGGATAACCATATGTTTCCATATTGGACAAGAAGGTATACTTTTGTCTTTGCCTTTTAGTTTAATTTGCATAGTCAAAATGTAGGTTGTCTGGTGATCTCCTGAGATCAGATTAAAAATATCAAGTTTGGATTTAAAACGTTAGATAATAAAACACTCATCTTTCCCTAATGGAGATAATAGGGTAATGGAAGAAAGAAAACAAGTACAGAAATTATTTTACAAATTATACAAACAGGCTGTGATTGTATCTCCCAAAAAGAGATACTGAAAAAGTCCCCTGGTCAGTCATAGGACAGAAGTTAGGGGGAGAGTATGTCCAGAAGTGTTTTAAAGTAAATGTAGCTCTTCTTCCAGTTTGTTTTCATAGTTTTTACTCAGCTGAGAAAAAGATCCTTCAAAAATGCTTAATGAGAATCTGCATTACTACTTACTCCTAGATTATAACTTCCTAAAGGATCTGTTACTACTGGTTTCTCCTCCCTTTACAAAAAGATTTTATCATGTTATTCCCCTTAATAACTCGTGCATTATCCAGAGAAGCATTTCCCAGTTGGTAGCTTGCAGATCCCTAGGAATTTATGAAAGTTCATGGCGGTTGTGGAGGGAAACAAAGGAATGTCAGTAAGAGACATGTTTTTTTGGAATTTTTGAAAGGTAGAACGCAGATGGGCAGGAGAAACAAGCTGGCCAGAAACAAGCCTGCTCTTCCCTCTACAACTTAACTTGTCTTGGAGGGTCCAACCAGTGTAATAAGGAAAAGAAACGATTAAGGTGATGACCCCTATTTTTCCACAGTAAATACATTACCAGTTTTCTCTCAATTAGTTTCTTTTGAAGAGATACTCACAGCTATGTAAATATCCTTTCATTCACCGCACTCTTACTCTCTAGCCCTAATCTTCATTGGTGATTCTTGCCTGAATCACATATTACTATGATAGTTTCCAGACAGTAATTTTCTAATTTTATCATCCCTTGGAGCTGGCTCCTATGTTCCTATCATTCCTTGGGAAGTCTCACTTTCTGATTCATTAAGTCGTTCCAAGCTCGTCTGGACTATTTGTGCCCCAGTGTTTGATTCAGCCGTTTTGCCGGAAAGGTCTGAATCTTTTTAGTAAGGAATGGTTTTTAAGAAACCAAGACCTGGGGGCTACATGTACTCAGTAGCTCCTGAACCTCTCATGGCTTAAGCCAGGGAATATGTATCTTTATCTCTATATATGTATTAAATGCTATGTTTAGAATCTTCATTTTTATCTCACTGTTAAGAAACAAAACACAATTGTTAAATTAGACCAGTTGATTTTTATACACTAAATGTAAGAATTCCAAAAATCAAGTCATGAGTGTATAATCTTAAGATTATATTTCAGTCTCCATTTTAAGACATTTTGTCTCCAAACCAAATATGGTATGCTGTTTGATAATTCATTTGTCTGCAAATCATGCTTTCTGTTATATGATTTAAGGTAAATTGAATAACCTATATTAACAAATGAGGAAAATGTTGAAAAATTGTAATGCAATAGCTAATAATAGTGATGTAAGATATTTTTATTTATTTTCTTATTCCATTATGCAGAGATGACAGAATTTTTACCAATACCCTTAAAAAGGGAGTAGGAAGAATTATTAATTACTGTACAAAGTTAGTGAATTAAAAATGTTGAATACCTTTCCTTAGAGTATAAGGTCCCAATTCCTTCTCCCGATATGCAAAACCCTCATGGGCTGACTCACCACCTCCCCCGACCCTGCCTTCCTATTCTCATCTCATACTTCCCTCCCTCTAGGCATATGGGTTCGCCTTATGGTTCCTTGTGTACTAGCATGATTGGCATGCCCTTCCCCCTCACTAATCTGCCTGGAAACATCTGATATATCTCTTAGGTTCCAGGTCACATATCACCTGTTCCATAGAATCTTACAGACAGAATTGATTCTTCCTTTGTTCTCATAGAAGCTCATATATACTATTCTTTTTTTTTTTGAAACAAAAATAATTACTTTTTATTGAGCACCTATTAGTACATTTTATACTATTCTTTTAAAAAGTAAAAATAAAAAGATTTTAGGGCGCCTGAGTGGCTCACTTGGTTAAGTATCTGCCTTCAACTCAGGTCATGATCCCAGAGTCCTGGGATCAAGCCCTGCATTGGGCTCCTTGCTTGGCCCGCTGCTCCCCCTGCTTATGCTCTCTCTCTCTCTGTCAAATAAATAAATTAAATCTTTTTAGGGAGCTCGAGGCGGGACTCGATCCCAGGACCCTGGGATCATGACCTGAGCTGAAGGCAGACGCTTAACCGACTGAGCCACCCAGGCGCCCCTCATATATCTAATTTCTTATCTCTGTATTCCTTAGTAGATGTGTCTTCCTTTGCGCAGCAATTTTATTCTCCTTACATCCCAACACAACACAGTATCAAGCATTTCAAATAAATACTTGATAGATGCATAAAGATTTTGTTGGTTTCAAGATTATCAACTTGATAATTTTTAAAATGTCTATTCTGCCATCACTTGTTAAGTAATATTCTAGTTATGACTTCCTTTGTATATATAAAAAAATTAAATTTTAATATGCTAAACCTGTTGCTAGATTTCTAGAGATGGGATAAAGGTTTAAAAATTCAAGATACTTCAAAACCTCTCCCTTATGTGTATTACAATTTTCAGTGGGCTGTGCTAGATCTTCACTCACACACATCCATCACGTACCCGTGGAGTGTATAACTGCCACTTTACCAGAGCAAATTCATAAATAATGTTATGGTACAACGAATAAGGTGAAAAAGTCAAACTCAGAAGACACATCTAATGGTGCTGGTGACATTTAAAGGGCAGTGAATATGTCCTAATGAAGGAACTTGCAAAGATTACTTCGCGGGATCTAGCTGGGTAGATTCCAACTTCTTCCTTTAGTTTAATCTTGGTGATTAGTGCCCTGAGCTCTCGGTGCTTACTCCCCCATATCTCTATCCAAGTTCTCCAGTGGCCAAACCTCACCAGCCCAGTCTCTTTTACCACGGAGTCTCCCAAAACACCTGTCCTTTCAGGTCGGTCTGTTTACTCCCCTGGTGCTCACTGCCACCCTGCCGCATGCCCAGCTGAAGTCAACTCTGCTCCTTCAGGCTATACTCAACTCTCCCCACCTGTGTTTTGCTTATAATTTGGTAAAGGTTTGGTTGGAAACTCAGTTTAACACCGGGGCTGCTTTACTGCGGTGCCTGTCTTTTAGTACTAGAAATGTCTGCATTAGAGTCAGTATTAAAAGTGTGGTATCTCTGCTTTTTTCTTTCTAGATCCTGGCTAGATAACAATGGGAAAAGTGCAGTTAAAAAACTGAGGAACAGTTTGCCACTTAGAAGAGAACTAGATCGTTTAAAAGATGATCTGTCTCAGCAGCTGCAGCTCTCAGACATCAGGTAACAAAGACAGACCCTAATTTAGAGACTAAAATAAGCATGTATTATCTACTGGTCAAGCTTCCCAGCAGTTAAATATTTGCATCTTTAATTATTCAGATAACTATAAGTAGCCTTCAATTATCTTTTTCTGAAAGTAGTCAAATGTTTATCTTTGTAAGAAAACTTCTATCAATTTCTTGTTTAAAATTGTGAAGTAATGTTTAGATTCTGACATTTTTAGCATAAGAGTTTAATTTTTTAAAGTAATGTTTATTAAAGAAAATCCTTTTCCATATGCACAAAATATATAAAAAGTAATTATTCCTCCATCCTGTGAGATCAGTATTTAAATTTAAAATGAGGAAGGGAGATAAAAAATGGGTGTTGTATTCTTGGTTCTGTGTTTTATAGCATGACTTTTTAAAGTTTTCATTAACCTGGAAATCACAGTTCCGTAAAGATAACAGGCATTTATTATAAAAACAGATTTAACAGCTGTTAAAACAGTAACGAAGGGAAAAGGGGGCCCTGGTGTGATTCGGGGGCGGGGGGAACCCCTCGTTACAAGAACTGAGAAACTGTTGCTCAGTCTTGTGCTTGAACATTTCTATTAACAGTTCGTTATAACCTGTTTTGTTGTTTCCAACCTTTATTATCAGGATGTTTTTTTCTTCTTTTGAACTAAATGACTATTTGGGTATCATAATAGCATCTTTTTCTTATGCTTATGGAATACTGATAATACTTAAATGTTTTGTTCTTGTATATTCAAATCATAGTAGTTTTTTTTTTTTCAAATCATAGTTTTATAAGATAATTAAGATTTCAAGGAAAGCGTGTAGACTTGGTGTGTGTGGGATGTTTGGATTTGTGCTGATGGCTGCTCTTTTGTCATCATATCAGTATTTTTAGGCCCTGCTTTGATTAGAAGGGTTCTTTTAATTCCACAGTGTAGTAGTATGGACTTCTCTAGCTAACACTCAAATAACAAGGTCCTTTTTAAAAGTTTGTAAAATAAATTTATGTACATAAAAGTACCTTTTTTTAGTATAAATTCTAAATGAACTATCAAAGAGATTAGAATTAGGAAAACAAAAGGATTTTTTTTAAGGATTTCTTAAACATAAAAAGAAACAAGCATTATATTACAGTATGGTGTAGAAACTTCTCAGCTTTGATTTTTGCCATGGTAAATACCAATAAATATAAAACACATAAACAAAAGGTCTTTGGGTTCTCCATTTTTAAGAGTGCAAAAGCTTTTTGACACCAAAGCATTTGAAGTGTGTATGATGGCTTTCCACTATTGGAAAATTAGCCAAGCCTCCAAAAGAGAAACATTGTGACCAATGACATTGTTTCTAACTCTAAGCCACCTGTGTGAAAGACCATTTATTAATAAGTGTATTTAGTAGCTTTATCACAGTGTTAATTCTTTGAAATTATATCTGTTTCAACTGTGGGTTAAGGGAAAAGTTTTGAAAATCCATTTTATCAGAAATGACATTCATCAGAATCGGTGATAGGATGAAGAAGGAACCTGGTTTTTGAGAGCTTGTTTTGAGTGCCTTACTCCTTCACATATAGCACAGATCACTCCTTTGATTTATGCTACCTGTGCTGGAGGAAGTGATCCCACTTTGTATGTATGAAATGGAAACATTAGGAAGACTAGAAGCTACTTGTTCAAGGTCACAGAGCAAGTAAATCACAGAATTAGAATTCAAAGGGGGATGTTCTGATGCTTCTAAAGATCAGTGCTCGTTACGTTTGCATACCAGTGCCTCTGGGACACCACGTGGATATCAGGTTCCATTGTGTCACTAAGATTCAGTGTTCATTTATAAAATATGTAGATTACATGTCATAAAAAAATCACTTTCTCTAGAATAAGATAAAAAGAATCTGATCTAGTCTGGAGTTCCTAATTAGAACTTAAATCTAAAACAAAATCATCATCATTGAATGATGTGGCGATGAAAAAGGTTTTTTTTAAGTGTTCCCCATTTCATTCCCTTATTTTAAAATAGAAACAACATAGTGTATTTGCTTGTTTGAAATGTTTGGATATCTGAACATAGTAGTAATATTTTTACCCTCTGGCAAACCATTCATTTTCCATTTGGTTGCTTCATTAAAAAATGAGCTAGTTGGAAAACATATGCCTACTTGAGAAAGAAACTCACTGGCTTTCACAGGAATCAAGCAGCAAGGGGTGAATGCAGGCCTCCTCCCTCGGGGGTGCCTGATGTTAACGCGCCTGTGTGCTCTGTTGTACTAGGTGGCAGAGGAGCTGGGGCATCGCCCATCGCTGTAGCCAGCTTCATAGTTTAGGCCGCTTAGCACAGCAGAACTTGGAAACACTTAAAAATGCAAAAGGTAAACAATTTCCATTTTCTTTTAAAATATCACTTGGCTGGGGCGCCTGGGTGGCTCAGTCGTTAAGCATCTGCCTTCAGCTCAGGTCATGATCCCGGAGTACCAGGATCGAGCCCTGCATCGGGCTCCCCACTCTGTGGGAAGCCTGCTTCTCCCTCTCCCCCCC